AAGAGGAGGATAGCTGGCAAGTGACTGTAACAGCAGTCTTCACACCTGGCCCAGATAAGAAGGAAGAACTGCAAGATGAAAGTCCTCCTGACTCACTCACACGTGTGACTCGTTTAAGGGAGCGACTGCGGCAAAACTTAGCAACCAGGCGAAGAGAGGCCAGGCTACAAGGGAGACACTCAGCCAGCCCGGAGTTCTAACAAGAGCCTGGCCGATCGTGCAGCTGGCTAATTGGTAGCAGCATTTAACTCCACACTCTGGGCAGTACTCTTCGTGGAAGCAACAAGTCAGCTTCATGCTGCTAGCATCCACTCCGGCTCGGCTCTTGCACCTAGACCTTCGGAACCCCTGGCTTTGGACTTGGCTCTGTGTTCCTGGCTCCTGACCCAGCTTGGCTTTGGACTACGTTTCTGGTTAGTGATTTGGACTTGGCTCTGTGTTTCTGGCTCCTGACCACGGCTTGGCTTTTTGCACTTTGCACTGTCTTCTTGGCTTCTGACCATGGCCTGTTCTGGACTCCCTTTGACTGGCACCCCAGCCCGCGACAGTGCCATTCAAGTTGCAAAGGCATAAATTAACAGAATTAAAGCAGATTAAAATATAAAATGTACCTATTTAAAAGCATTCGGATTGAACACAGCCAAGAGCTAAAACACGTTGGATCTGCCAACTCATAGGGCTTTAAAGATAATAACCAGCACTCTGAATTGGATCCAGAAGCAGATACGTAACCAGCGCTTCTAAGTTTTTCCTTGCATGGTCAGATTTCCATCCTTTGTATTCACTGCTTTTCCCAAGTATTTTAAAAATGTTCTCAATATTTTGCCTAGTACCTACACTGAACATAAGCCTTTGAAAGAGGTCTCTCTACTTCTGAGTGGCGTTGTGAGCAACAGCTAGTGTGGTGCAGTGCTGCACCTTAGAACGAATCTGGCTAGACTAAGGCATGCCCTAAAAATTCAATGGATGACCTTGAGCCAGTTCTTTCTGTCCTTCACAAGGTTACTTTGAGAACAGAACAAAGGGCAGGAGAACTACCTACGCCACCCTCTGCTCCATGGAGGAAGGGCGGGATAACTGTCTACTAAATAAATACTGATTAAGTCTTAGAAACACTTTATAAGTTGACTCACCTTCCGTTTATTTTCCATGATGCCTAAATCTCTTTAAATGCTGCCAGTTATCCTCCATCCTACTTTTACACCATCCTTTTACTTCCTCAGTGTCATTTATCTACAATAGTTACATACAATCTCTTTAAAGATTCTTTACTTAACTGTATAGGTTCGTTATGCATAACTATTTACTTATGTCTATTAATAAATATTTACTTATGTCTAAGGCTCTAGTCCTGCACAAAACACTGAGGAAGTACACCGAACCAGTCAGTACCTAAGTTATGACTTCTCAAAGGCAACCATCAACTTTTGATACAGCAACCAAATTGGCTACAGTGCCAGTGGGTCAGATGGAAATCAGGAAGACGGAAGAAGCAACAAACAAAACAACTGCAGGAGAAGCAAGAATGAGAAGGGAATCCGAAAACCATTTCAGCCCCTGCTCAGGACACTGCTGTCCCCAAAGTCTACAGTGCAGATCAATGGTCACCCCCCCCCCCCAAGACTGCAGGGTCACGCAGGAAGAACCAATGAGGAAGATGAAGGACAAACATTCAAACCATTTACTTGTATGGAGAAAGCAGAAAAAGTGAGCAGTCAAAACCAATGAGAAGGATTAACACTTCCAACACGCATATACCAAGATCCTGCTGTCCCTAGAATTTAGATCAGGGGCACATAAGATCCCTCATGCACTCGTTCCCATGACTCACAGTAAAACCTAAGCACAGTTACACCCTTCTAAGTACCTTGAACTCAGTGGGCTTAGAAGTGTAACTCTGCTTAGGACTGGCACTGCCGGACCCTTCCGTTTCCCTATACAAGGCAGTGGGACCAGTACAGATATCCTGAGGACTGTTTGCAATTAGAACAGTATTGCAGCAGCTTGAGTTACAAAAACAGGCTTTTAAAAAGTTCCCACCATACAACTCCCTAAAGTGCTTAGAAGTTCATGGAGGATAGATCTATCAGTGGCTACTAGCCATGGTAACTAACCTTCAGAGGCAGTCAATCTCTGAATCCTAGTGCCAGGAGAAGAGTTGGTTTTATACCCCGCCCTTCACTACCTGAAAGTCTCAGAGTGGCTTACAATCACCTTCCCTTCCTCTCCCCACAACAGACACCCTGTGAGGTAGGTGGGCCTGAGAGAGCTCTGAGAGAGCTATAACTGACCCAAGGTAACCCAGCTGGCTTCATGTGGGGGAGTGGGGAATCAAACCCACTTCTCCGTGTTAGAGTCCTCCCACTCTTAACCAGTATATGGAGCAGAAGTCCATCAGTGGCTATTAGCCACAATGTATAAATAGGAACTCTCAGGCTGGGGCAAGTGATGCTCTGTATTCTTGGTGCTTGGGGGGGGGGGCAACAGTGGGAGGGCTTCTAGTGTCCCGGCCCCACTGCTGGACCTCCTGTTGGCACCTGATATTTTTGGCCACTGTGTGACAGAGTGTTGGACTAGATGGGCCATTGGCCTGATCCAACATTGGCTTCTCTTATGTTCTTATACCAAACTGTTGTTGGACCTCCCTGTTGCTGGACCTCCAGAGAAACTGGTTGGCCACTGTGTGAGACAGGGTGCTGGACAAGATGGACCACTGGTCTGATGAAGGGCTCTTCGTATATTCTGAAGTCTACATCATATTGCTGTTACGTTTTAGCCCATAACTAGGGAATATGACTACTGAAACAAATGGGAACCGGTGGCTTTTTCTCTCCCCCCCGCTATTTTATTTTTCAAGTCACAAGACTGTCACTAAAATAGCTAGAATTGGCAGCTTGTGCATAGATGTCATTATAAATGGAAACAAGAAGTGCTGCATAGTTATTTTTTGCTCAAGTTCTCCTTCCAACGATATGAGCACCAGCAATTTTGAATAGAGCAACCATATCAAAAATGAAACAGAGAGGTTAAACAGGACATGACTAAAATTTGTAACCCTGCAGTAACATATTACTTCTGCAATTACCAGTAGAATTTACAACATGTGTTTGATAGGACAACTCTGTCTAGAAGAACAGGGGTGAGAGCATTAACAGGATTTAAAAGCACAAGTCTTTCAGTAAGATACTAAAGAATCAGTTATTCCCTAAAGTGGAAGCCTCTAGCAATACTTCCGCAAGGCATTTTTTAATTCATCCCATTTGTTATTTTTAAATTGGTTTCCTGCCCTTCTTCCAAAAAGCTCAGCATAACATGCATGAGTTTTTCAAAATTTCATCTCACAAGAACCCTGTGAAGTAGGTTAAGCTGAGAGAGAACAACTGACCCATGGCCACGCATTAAACTTCATTACCAGGCTAGAATGTGAAGCTGTATCTGCTCAGGAAACGTGAAAGAGCTTTCAAATTTGTGGCTTGCCCAGCCACAGAAATAATCTCCACGATTGCTGCATATTTTAGGTGGCAAGTGATACAACCCTACTGCAAAGATGATCCAGATGGTGACCATCTCTGAAACCTTATAGCCATCATGCAAGAACTAGCCACAAGGGTGCACTTCAACTTCCGAGCCTACTTTAAGTGCTTTATTCAGTTGCAGGACAAGGTTGTTAGTCTTGAGGAGTTTGCAGGTCACTAGATAATATGCTAAAGGCACACTAACTAATCCCAGTTTATCAACTGCGGGTTTCAGCACCAGAAATCCAGGATTGGTGGTCTTTCTTTGGGGCCAATTAGTTCTGTCAGAGATGTTCTATATTCCCACAGGTCCCTGCTTTCAAGGCTGTTGATGAAGAACAGCAGCAATACCAAGCGCTAGCTGTTTCTGAAAGAAATCCATATGCAACGAGAAGCAAATGAAGTAATTTGTACAGTTATCAGGTGTAGCGGTATAAAATCCAAGGTTTATGCAAATGAGCCCTTGCATAAGTCTGTTGATCTACCTTAGCAATAAGCATCCTTGTAAAATCAAGACTACATATACACTGCCGAAATTACTAAACATAAGGGTGGAAAACCAATTAAAGTTTCTAGAGCAAGATTAACACGAACCTAACACAGCTTTCTTGCCTCCACCACTGGACAGCTCCTTCATTGACAATTTCTGCTACAGACTTTTTCCAATATATTGGAAGGTGCTTATATTATATTTGCCATGTACTTAACAATACTAACAGAACCAGGGGGGGAGCATTTGGATTTTTAAAAATTGCACCTGTGCAGTATCTTGTTGACACCCTGAATTAATGAATCGTGTCCCTCCATGTTTCTGGTCTGACCCAGAAATCTGTATCTATTCACCCTCCACACTGCAGAAGAGCACTTATATGGCTTTTACAGAGCTGGGGATTTTCTGCATATTTGATAGAACGGCAAAACCCAAACAAATTCTTAGCACCTCACCCAGTCACCCGCTCTTAAAGTCTGCCTCTTCCCCTTCTTATTTTCTAACAGGGCATTAGTGCATTCGTGCATCTTTAAAAACTAAAGGCAAACCAAAACGGGAACCTGCAATGACTATTTAAAAAAAACACCATAAATAGGATTCCAATATCCTAAAAATGAAGGGGAAAAAAGAAGTCTTGACATTTTCAGCCTAACCCCCTCAGTACGGTTACATTGTCTACACACCGTAAGCAAATTGTGAATTGGTAGGAGACTGCTTACTTCCAAGCAGTCGGTATTAAAACCATGTTGTTCAAAGAAACATTATGCTCAATCTACTCTACTCCTAAAATGCATTCCTTTCCCTAAAATCCAGCAGTTCCCTTCAACCGAGGGGCGGGCAGGAACCACAGTCTTTTACAATCCACTTTCCCCACCCCCCGGGGGGGAAGAGAATAACAATTTTTTGAATTAAAAAAAAAAGGAAACGTGATGACGACACGACACTTCTTTTGTTTCTACTTCTTTTTTTAAAAAAAGATTAAATCAGTTACTCACAATCATCTAAGTCATCCTGCAAATCCACAAAATACAAAGGGATCCCTACAAACAAACAAACAAAAAAACAAAAGAAGAGAGAGAGAGAGAGAGAGAAAAGGAGGGGAAGAAAAAAAGACAACAGGGGGTTGGTCTTTTCCACAAGCCTCTGGTCGGAGAGGAGACAGATATCATTTCTCTTTTTTAAAAACACACACACAAAAAATGCACCACCACCACCATAACAACATCCTAGAGAGAGCCAACAAGCAACCTTTTACGCCAAGCCTGAGCACCCCGTGAGATACAATTTACACCACCAAAAAAGGGGGGGGGGGAAACCCATTTTAAAAAAAAAATAAGAGCTGGCATACGGAGAGGAAAGCCACACGCATCCAACCAAGGCGAAAAGGAGCAGGAGAAACGAAAAAGCCACTCACCAGCCATTTTGAAAGGGACATGGGTGGGGAGAGGAGAAGGAGGAGACCGGAGGCCGGGCGAGGCGGGCGAGGAGGAGGAGCCGCCGGCGCTCCCTGACCCTCCGCTGAACCTTTTTTTTTGAACCGCACACACGCCCCCCACCCCCCGAATAATAACCCCAAACCCCTCCCCCGCTTCCCCTCAGCAACCGCCTTTCTGGTCTCCTAACACGAACAATAAGCATAATAATACATTTTAAAAGGGGTGAGTGGGGGGGGGAGGAGAGGGAAATATCATAAAGGCTTCCCCGCCCCTTCCTTCCCGGCGTTGTGTGTCACTGCAAGGGGGGTGTGTGTGTGTGGAGAAGCCCGGTCAGGTGATTGTCAATAGGGGCCGTCCAAGATGGCGGCCGGTTTGCGGGCTCTGAGGAGGCGCAAGAGAAGGGCTTACCTGTGACTGGGAGCTGCCGCGGGGTGGAGGAGAGAGAGGAGGGGGGATTTATTTTTTTAAAAAGGGGGGTCGGTTCTCGTCCTTCCTTCCCCCCCCCCGAAGACTCTGACCTAGAGGAAGGAGGGAGGCGGCTCTTCAATGCGTGCCTTTCTCCAGGGAGGGGTTATGGTGCTGCTGGGCTGCGCCTGTGGTTCTTAAAAAGCCGCCCGTCCCCTCTCTAGCCATGGCTCTGAGGGAGCTCAAAGTTTGCCTGCTCGGGGTAAGTCGACGGGGGCGAAGGGAAACGGGGAGTTTGGGCGACTGGGAAATGTTGGTCCCCGTACAGAGAGGGGGGCTCTTGAGTCCTGGAAGCTGGATTTTGCGCGCTTTGCATTCTTCTTTTTGCGGGGGGAGGCTGTCTCTTCTCTCCCGCCCCCACCCCTTTCAGTCTTTGCAATATGTGGCTTCTTTCTTATTTCGGGGGGGGGGGCTGGGAGATAAAATGATCCCCCTCCCCGTTCTTATGGTTCATTGTGGAGCTATCAGACTGGGGGAAGCTCAGCGAGTGGGTGGGGAAGAGCTCTTTTTCCTTTCCCAATGGACTACATTCCAGCTGTTGTTGTAAGATTCAGAGTTGATTTCTCCGAAGTTTTTGGTATGATGCTTGCGCGCGGGGGGGGGGGTAGATTCTGAATTTGTGCATGTTTATTAGAAATAGGGCTTGCCTTGTCCCGCACGGTTTAAATGGTTTCCCCCCCCCCGGGAGGGATGCATTTTCGTGTTTTATGTTGCAATTTACTTTAGAGCTGCTGTTGATAACGTGGGTCAGAATGATTACAGTTTGCTGGAATGTTAAGTTTTTGTATGGCTTGACTTTTTTGAAGCTTGTGAAAGGGCGAACTAAACCTCAGTGTGTGGAGGAATGAAATCCAGTCTGAATTGCCACTTGAGTTTTTGACATAGTTTCCCTCTAATGTTTTGTGTACACAACTGCTTGAAAGGTATGTGTCCTTCTGTTCTGAAAGGTACCATTCTTCATGGCTAGGTACCTATGGAACAGATGCTCTGCAGAAGAAAGAGTCCCTGAGAATAACATTTGTTAATCTTTTCCCTTCAACCCATCGTTGTAAAATTTGGAGCAAAAAATCTAGAAGAAAAATGTCTAGATACTTTACTTTAACTCTGTAGTAACTGGTTTTTATGTCAAGAGTTTTGACACCCATGTAACATTCTGTGGTGGTATTTGTCAAACTGGTTTCCAAATTTCATTAAGGCAGAGTGCTTAATTTGCCTTTCATTTAAATGTGGGAGAGTGACTGTGTTATTAAGAATAGTCATACTGAATTAGGGTTTGGAGAGAAACACCTTTATAAATTAAAATGTTAATGTTGGGCTTACCAAAACCCACAGTCTCCAGTTTCCTAAAGTTGGGTCTGTTTCTAAACTTTAATAAAAGGTTTAAAACTGAACTTCATAATGTGCAGTCAGGCCGCAAGGTTCAACCCAGGCAGAAATGGAATCACTTTGGGATTCCTTATCTGCTCTGTTTGTATCCACTTTAGTAAATGTTTTTCCAGGTATGCTAAGGGAAGCGTGTAAAGACTTTCATTAAATAGGGTGGGGCTGAATGAGTATGAATCATTATAGACATATTCTGTGTTGTGTGACACCGAGCAACTAGTTTGACACCTTTTGGTTTCCATCCTTGAGTTGTTTGTTCAACACATCTGTATGGCTTGTCCCCAACATACCTGTTGGCAATTAGTGTTTCTGGTAAGCCTGTGCCCACTTATGCTGCTATAATGTGCATTACGTGAAAGCGTGGAGTCATCACTGTGTTATTTAAAGTAGCCGTTTTATTTATTAATTTTGATACCTATACCTTCCTCTTCTCCCCAGTGGGGACCCAAACCATCTTACAGCATAGTTTTCTTCTGCATTTTAACCACATAAGTAAAACTGTGCATTAGGCTGAGATGATAGGTGTGGGATCCTGGCTTTGTGGCTGAGCATTTGCTTGGCATGCAGAAGGTCCCTGGGTCAATCCCAGGCATCTCCAGTTAAAAAGACCAGGCAGTAGGTAATATGAAAGACCTGAGCCGCTAAGGGAGGGGCTGTGGCTCAATGGAAGAGCCGCTGCTTTGCACGCAGAAGGTCCCAAGTTCAGTCCCTGGCATCTCCAGTTAAAAGGACCAGGCAGTAGACACCTGTGCCTGAGACCGTGGAGAGCCTCTGCCAGTCTGAACAGATAGTGCTGACTTTGATTGACCTAGGGTCTGATTCAGTACAAGGCAGCCTCATGTCCCTCTCCCAGCTTCCATGACAGTGTGTGGATTTGAGCCCGAGTCTCCCTTATCCTAACTTGGTGCTCTTATCCCTATACCATGCTGGCTCTTATTCAGTTATGTGGAATGAATTATCATTTAAGACCTCTGATTATTGTGTCCATACATGGTCAAGCAGTATCAGACAGAAAAATCCAATTGATCAGGTTATCATACATACACACACCTGTGGCAGAATATTTTGACTATGTTCTTTGACATAATCTAATTCATTTTCAGTGGGGCTTGTTTCTAAATGTTTCTAAAGACACTCATTTATGTCTGAAGTTTAATTCTGAGTATAAGCTTTTGGGTGCACACACACACGGACACTTCTTTAAATATTTTGAATATGGTATTTTAAATAATCCCATTGATTATCAGTGGGGCTTGTTCCAAAGTATACATATATATTTATTTAGATATTTATGTTTCACTTTTCTTCCAAAGCAGCATACAAGATCATTCACTCTTTCAATTTTCCTCTCAACAACAGCCCTGTGAGGTGGGTTAGAACAAGAGTCCTTGACCCAAGTCCACACAGTTGGGGTGGGGGTGCACCTGACTATCCGACATCCTAGTCTGACCCATCACTACAGCACATCATGGCAGCCTTCCCCTATAATGGCATCAAGATGCTAAGGTGGTCATTGTGGTTAAAACAAGAATCCAAAGAGTCTGTAGTGTATCTTCCACAAACAATATGCTGTAAATGGAGGTTGTGAGGATATTTCTTCCTGTATTTTGTGGATACCTTCAATCACTTTAAAACTACATCCATTATTCAGTGGGTGGCACGCATCCCACCTTTCCATGCTTTGCCACTAATTTAAACAGTTTACACAATAACTGTGAAAAGTTTTCTTTTAACAGATGTTTCCTAATAGGTTTAAAGGGCACCAGAGGTTTGCATGGGATAGAGAAGGAAGAGAAAGAAGTACTTTTCTCCCTTTCTCACAGTACAAGAACGCGTGGGCCCTCAATGACATGAATGAGCAGTAGGCTTAGAACAGATAAAAGGAAGTACTTCTTCACTCAAAGAGTGATTAACACATGGAATTCACTGCCACAGGAAGTGGTGATGGCTACAAGCATAGACAGCTTCGAGAGGGGATCGGATAAACATATGAAGCAGAGGTCCATGAGTGCTCTGTATTCTTGGTGCTTAGGGAGCAACAGTGGGAGGGCTCCTGGAGTTCTGGCCCCGCTGGTGGACCTCCTGACGGCACCTGGGTTTTGGCCACCGTTTGACACAGAGTGTGGGACTGGATGGGCCACTGGCCAGATCCAACATGGCTTCTCTTATTTTCTCTTATGTTCTTTAGTTTGCCAAACTGATGCCTGTTTATCTGAGGATAATTTATTATGTTATGTAAACTCTTTAAAAATGTAGACAAAACTTTGACGGGCAGGGATTAGGATTTTCTGAGAGTGTGCCCTCCATGACCCCTTCCAAGGAAATACAAACTGTTATGGGCTTGAGTAAGCAAACTTCACACACACAAACACAGAAACACACACCGGCCAGCAAAATGGAAATGCCTTCTGTAGGCAAGTATGTTCAGTGTTCCATTGAGTCATTTTCTGGTGCAGTTTTCTAAAAAAAGAAAAGAAAAAGTGAATATTTCTGAGTATACCTTCAGTATGCAGAAACCCCCGTCATGTCTGTGGGTAGCCCTTTTTTCACTGTCCTAATGACAGGTTTGCTGTCAGGAGTGGTGATGATGCTAAGCAGTGCTTGAGCAGATAACACTCCATAGCTGTGAAGACTGTACAACTTTATAGTGCCCACTTTGTTATGGCACTAGACCTCTCACACCCCTGAACCAGTTTGTGCAACAGCATGTTTTTCCAGCCCTTGGACTGCTGACAGAACAGTTAAGTGTTTATTGGGTATGTGAAAGCTGATCAGGGGGGGGGGGACTTGCTTCAAGATGAGGGGCAAACAGGCCAGAACTCCAGCCAGCCTTGTAGTAAGAACCATAGCCATAGCTGTTATTTCTAGGGGTGTGCAAGGGGATTAAAAAATCTTTTTTAAAAAAAAAATAATTCAGGTATATTGGATGTGAAGATTTTTGGTATTTCCCAATATTCCCAAATCCCAATACCAGTATGGTATTCAGATTTGGTAAATAGTTTGGATTTCTGAATGTTTGGGGGGTCCATCAAAGTCAATGGCAAATCTGTCCTGGGGGTATACTCAGTGGTCGGGCGGGGGGGGAGGGGAGTTGAGGTAGAGGCTCCAGCAGCTATACTGCTCAAAAGAACCCCCCAAGTTTCAAAAAGTTAGTTTCCAATGGGGGAAAATAACAAGACAATACAAGCCCAGCAGAATGTCCCAGAGAATCTTTGTAGTAGAAAGTAAGGGAGGGGGGCATTTTTGCAAGGCGAGCAGCAGAACCAGTGCAATGTGCCCAAAAGAACCAGTGCCACTGTGGCAGTGCCAAAACCCAACAGGACTAAGGTCAAATCTGAGAATCTCTAAAGTAGAAACTGAGGGGAGGCATTTCTGCAACGTCAGCAGAACCCAGTGCCAACTTACTAGTGCCCAGCGGCAGAACCCAGTGCCATTGTGGCAAGTGCCAGCTCAACAGGACTGATGTCAAGCACAGAATCACAATCCAAGCGAGGGGGTGGAGGGTTACAAGGACAGCGAAACCAGTGCAATAGTGCCCAGCAGCACAACCCAGTGCCATCCTACTAGTGCCCAGCAACACACACTTGAAACAGAGCAGTGAACCTCAATACCCGCCTCCCCCAAAAAAACAACCTTCTAGAAATTAAAGGGAAGAAATGCAAGGGAGAAGACTACTGGGGGGAAAGGTGAGGGAAATTACTTAAGATAGAAGGGAAAGCAAGAAGAACCTAAACCCAAAGCCTTTCCACACACACACACCAGACCAAAGAAAAGAAAAGGGAGAAAGAGCAGAGGAAACAAGCAACAAAGCCTCACACACACACCTCAACTCCCAAAAAAGAGAAAAAGAAGAAGAAAGCAAAGGATGGTGAAGGAGAAAGAGAAAATTCAAGTAAAATAATAGATTAAAAAAAACCAAGCAGAAGCCACACACACACACGCACAAACCCAAATAAAGAACTGAAAAAGAATAAGTTAACCAAGTTTTAAACCAGCTTCAAAGAACCAAAGCCAAGAACCAAAGCAGAAGGAAAGAACCCCTGGCCCTCCCACACACACAACCTACCACCAGGCCCAAACAGCAGCAAAATTCCACAAAAATAACTGCAAGCAACAAAACCAGAAGGAACTAAAACTTAAGAATAAAACCAAATAGAACAACAACAACAAAGGCCTGAGGCTTTTGGCCTCACCCCCCCACCACCACCACACACACCCACCCTACCATCCACCAAGCCCAAAGAACAACTAACAGTAAAATAAGAAAATTTTATTTTAAATGTCATTCAGTCAGACTAGTCGCTTTCTTCACTCTACTCCAGGTAGGCAGGCAAAATCTAATCCGAAGTCCACAACAGGGTCTGTCAGGCAGCAGGAGTCAGGCTCAGAGCAGTAGCTGAAGCAAAGGCCAGTGCAGTTTAGCTCAACCAGACCCTCGTTTCATGCTCTTTGCCCATGCACAGAAAAATTTCAAAAAAGAACAAACTTCTGTGATTGGCTAAAGAGCAGTGTTCCCCCTAACCTGAAATCCTATTTGCCAAATTGCCACTGCTCCTTCCCCCCTCCCTCCGGTTCCCTGGGAAATGGATGGGGAAAACAAGGTAGTTTGGACTTCACATTTGAGGCCAACAACCTTGCAAGTTGCAAACCTGCAATGCAGTGCCATTTGAAAAGCATTGCAATGATTGACTCTAAGGCAGTACAGCTCCCTCTAGTGTTCTTTTGCAATTGGGTTGCAGAGATGCCTATTTTGCCCTCCTGTTGCCCTGGAAACCAGAGCAAAGGCAGGAAAGAGTCCTAGAGGAGAGAACTGAAAGTTAACTTTGTAGCGCCTGCTCCTTGGGAGGAAAGCAATGGCAAACCTAAACAGCATGATAAAAAGTAGAGACATCACCCTGCCAACAAAAGTCCGCATGGTTAAAGCAATGGTATTCCCAGTAGTCCTGTATGGCTGCGAGAGTTGGACTATAAGGAAGGCCGAGCGCAGAAGAATAGATTCTTTTGAACTATGGTGCTGGAGAAGACTCTTGAGAGTCCCTTGGACTGCAAGAAGAACAAATCAGTTAATCCTCAAAGAAATCAACCCTGACTGTTCCCTGGAAGGCCAGATAATGAAACTGAAGCTCAAATACTTTGGCCACCAAATGAGAAGGGAGCACTCACTGGAGAAGACCCTGATGCTGGGAAAGATTGAAGGTCAAAGAAGACGGGGACGGCAAAGGATGAGATGGTTAGACAGTGTCATCGATGCAACGAACATGAAGTTGAGCAAACTTCAGAAGATGGCGGAAGACTGGAGGGCCTGGAGGGAGCTGGTCCATGGGGTCGCAAAGAGTCGGACTCGACTGTGCGACGGAACAACAACAACACTATCAACTATCCACCGTAGCCAAATATTCCAGGAAAACCCGAAAAAATCGGCTTCATTTAGAATCAGCAATACCAGTAGCCGGTCAGATTCTCAGATCTATATTTGGCTTTAAAAATACCTGAAATATACCAGTCAGATATTTTTCAGGGGTTATTTCGTCTTTGCTACCTTTTTGTACCTAGATTGGCAACCCCTCAGGTGCCTGGATTTAACCCAGTGATTGCCATTTATTGATCCTTAGAGTGTCATCGGCACAGCTGAAAATGACATATTGAGGCCAGGCGTCTTTGCAAGAAATATTTGGAGAAAAATCTTGTTTGCTTTGCTATAGTTGCTGTTGAAGTTTGGATTAATTTCCCCACACACACACACACTGGTTATATGGAAGTCATTGAGGAAAGAGGGATTCTTTCCCTTTCCATGCCTGGTTTAAGGTGCTCGAGGTCCAAACTACAGTCTTTGTTGGGCAAGCATCTTGTTCACTCCTTTCTGCTTCTACTGCATTTAGTTGGATGGTTTGGGTAACTGGAAAAAATAGGTGTAGAGGCAGATAATCAACAGGCATATTATAGCCTTATAATACCTCGGAGACAAATGTTCCACCCTGCCCATTACAGCAAAACTATTTGTTCTGATGTCTCAGAACTCAGAATGATATTAGGACACATAGTTCTATTCAGACCAGTGGGGAGATCACTAATTTCCATACAAAAATCATGAGGCATAGGGAAATCATCGGAGAGAACTCAAACACATACGTTAAAGTCGTTTCCATCCAAACTATTTTGCTCTCCTGTCATCTCCCTATTGGTCCAAATAGAATTATTTGTCCTAATATTATAAGGCTGAGGAGAGAGATGATCAGTTTTATTAAAAGGATATTAAGATAGTTGCTGTCCCCCCCACACATGCACTCAATAAATAATCTCAAAACTGATTTCTTTTTCCCTTTCAGGACACTGGTGTCGGCAAATCAAGCATTGTATGGCGCTTTGTAGAAGACAGCTTTGATCCCAACATCAATCCAACAATTGGGTGAGGAACTTAAGGAAACGAATGATGTATTTCCCAGCTTGTTAAACATCTAATAATGTTGTGTGCAAAATGTTCTTGTGAGTGTAACTTGGGTATAGAAATGCAAATCAATGAAGACTGTTTGTATCTTCTACCTAATAAGTAAGCAGGAAACTAGAAACCAAGGAGTGATTATCCAGTTGTAATGGCTTCCTCTCCGCCATGATTAAGAGATCAGGAGCTAGTCCTGGAAGTATGCACTCCCTCCCCATTCCAGAGTGAATTCTCTCTTGCCTTAATTGAGGTCAAGGGAAATGTTTGCACTTACCTGAACCATGGTTAGTATGAATGATGACTCTAATTTAACTAGCATTTGAAACCATATCTTTGAAAATATATCATGTATATTGATTGTATAGCAAGGAAATTATCATTCCTTGACAGGCTGGAAAACTGGGCTAAAACAAATAAAATGAATTTTAACGGGGATAAATGTAAAGTCCTGCATTTAGGTAGGAAAAATCAAATGCATAATTATAGGATGGGGGAGACTTACCTTGGCAGTTGTGTGTGCAAAAAGGATCTAGGGGTCTTAGTGGACCATACACTGAACATGAGTCAGCAGTGTGATGCAGTAGCTAAAAAGGCAAATGCCATTTTGGGCTGTAACAACAGAAATATAGTGTCAGATCACGCAAAGTGATGGTATCACTTAACTGTGCTCTGATTAGACCTCACCTAGAATATTGTGTTCAGTTTGGGACACCACAATTTTTAAGGATACAGACAAGCTGGAACGTGTCCAGAAGAGGGCAACAAAGATGGTGAGGAAGTCCTATGAGGGGAGGCTGAAGGAGCTGGGTATGTTTAGCCTGGAGAGGAGATGACTGAGAGGTGATATGATAACCATCTTCAAGTACTCGAAAAGCTGTCATGTAGAAGATGGTGCGGAGTTGTTTTCTGATGCCCCAAATGGTTAGACTAGAACCAATGAGTTGAAATTAAATCAGAAGAGTTTTCGGCAAAACATTAGGAAGAACTTCCTGACAGTTCGAGCGGTTCCTCAGTGGAACAGGCTTCCTTGGGAGAGGTGGTGGGCTCTCCTTCTTTGGAGGTTTTCAGACAGAGGCTGGATGGCTATCTGACAGCAATGCTGATTCTGTGAACTTAGATCATGAGAGGGAGGTAGGGAGGGTTGCCTCAGTGCTTAGTTCTCGTGGCCCTTTCTTACACACCCAGGGAAATGCCAATCACCACTTTGGGGTCAGGAAGCAGTTTTTCTCCAGGGCACTTTGGCCAGTGGTCTTGGAGGTTTTTTGCCATCATCTGGGCATGGAACAGGGGTCACTGGGTATTTGTGTAGGTGGAGTATGTGTGAATTTCCTGCATTGTGCAGGGGGTTGGACTAGGTGACCGTGGAGATCCCTTCCAACTCTGTGATTCATTATTTAATGCTATAGGTTGTTTTATGTACAAACCTTCATTTTGCGCCTCTTGAGGGAGTGTATCTTTTTATTAAAATGCATTTTAGTCATTCGAAAAAAGAAAATGTTTCATAGGCTCTATCCCTCAAGCATCCCAATTTTTTCCATCAGAATTTTTAAGTCCCGAGGAAAGGATTCTTGCCCCCCCTCCCCCCCTCCCAACCTTGCATCTCTAGTCAGAGTTCTCCGATGGAAAGAGGATGTCATGACTTCAACTAACATTGAAAGGTAACATACAAAATGGGAACGGTGCAATCAGTGGGAGAAGATGGGAGTAACTCTACATCCGGTTGCATTGCTCCCTTTTCTATGACTTAGCTATTAAGAGCTGTAGAAAGACGTTAAAATCTTATTAGCTATCCCGGAATGCAAATATGTATTGATAAACAGCAGACTAAAAGCAAACATAAGCCAGTGCTGGTTCATTGGAAGCTAATTACCATTGCGTGTTGTGATGGCTATTAGCATATGATCTTTAATGGGATTAGCTGCATCGCCTGAGGCTAAGCCTCTCAGTGTCCAGTAACCATTTGCGGCCACAAACTTAATCTCTGTGTCAGTGATACTTCAGCCTAGATATTGTCCTCCTTGCACTGACTGGCTGCTGACAGATGGAATGTTTCCGACCTGTATGGATCATGGCTCTGAACCAGAGTGGCAGTCCTTATATTCGGCCCTCTTTGAATAAGAATGAGGAGGCCAAACATTTAGGAGGCAGGCTCTTTTTTCAGGTTTGAGTGTTCTGTATACACTAAACAATGCTACTACAGGACCTAATCTTGTTTCTCGTACTTTTATTAAAGCTATGGCAAAAGTGTATTAATATATAAACAAAACAGGTAATCCTGGCTGTTAAAAACTCGCTAAACCACACATGTCAAACATACAGCCCATGGGCCGAAAGCAGCCCGTCCGTGGCCCTTATCGTGCTTGTGAACAACTGGGGGGAAGCCAGTCTGATTGTGGAGCAGAAGGGCCTATATTGGGGTATTATATCCCCCTGCTGAGGTTCCTCTCTTCCCCAAACACAGGCCCTCCTCAGTGTCTTCCCCCAGATCCCCAACCCAGACTTGTCAACCTTCAGGGGCAAGAAGGGCTGGGTTGGCTCTGAGCACTGTGCAGCCAGCCCCCTTCGAGCCTGCCTGCTGCCTTTGGTTGGGACCAGTGTTCCCTCTAAGCTGAGTTACTGTGAGCTAGTGTGCAGTTTTTCAGCCCCCGGCTCACACATTTTTGTCTTAGCTCAGGAAGGATGGCAGAAGGCAATTAAAATGGAGCTGGTGTCCTTGGAGAGTGGCAGCTCTTGAAGACTGTAATGCTCCCTCTAAGCTGTGGAGTCCTGTGAGCAAAAAGTCTTCTTTGTGAGCTACCGGCATTAAAGTTGTGAGCAGGTGATTCGTGTACTGCATCAATTAGCTTGCTGTGGAGCCCTCCTTCCTGAGCTAAGACAAAAATGTGCGCGTCAGAGGCTTAAAAAACTGTGAGCTAGCTCACACTAACTCAGCTTAGAGGGAACACTGCGAGAAGTAACGCAGTTCCCCTTGCTGTTCAAGCTTGTTGCTAAATTTGGGACTTCGACAGAGGGAGGTGTGGGATTGTGCGGCTGCCTCACCCCCTTCCCAAAGCCTGTTGATGGTAGCATTTTCTTTAAGGCAGGTCTCATTGGGTTCCCCTGGTTAATGCCACTTGGCCACCTATCTTTGGCTGCCGCACCTGCAGCAAGAAAATGCAGTGTTTCATGCTCCAGTTTGTCAAAAGCTTCTGAAATTCATTAGTCTTTAAAGAGCCATGAGAGTCTGTGGTTGTTGTGCCTTGATTGTCAGCCAATAGCTTTCTATGTTGTGCAAAACTTCTTGTGCATATTGAGCAAAGGGTGGCTAGTTAGGTGCCGAGGAGGAGTGTGGGTTACGGTCATTACTGAACTAGCTCCAGTCCCTGGCATTACATTTTATGGCCCACGTGGCCCAGCCCGACAAAGTGACATTTATGTCAGATCTGGCCCTTGAAACAAATGAGTTTGCCCAGGGGCAAAAGAGTCCAGTGGAGCCTGAGCGGTGGGTGTTGCCTTCTGACACACTTGCGGTGATGTCAGGGGGTGTGGCATATGCAAATAAGTTATGCTAGTGAGTTTTGCTACTGAGCTCCTGCACCTCTTTTTCTACGAAATGACCCCTGCCTCTGCCCCAAACCTAACTTTCCCCAAGTTTCTCAGGGGGGAAGGACTGTGACTCAGTGGAAGAGTCTCTGCTTTCCATGCAAAAAGTTCCAAATTCAATCCCTGGCATCTCTAATTAGAAAGACCAGGTAGGAGGTGGTATGAAAGACCTCTACCAGAGACCCTGGAGAGCCAGTCTGAGTGGACAGCACTGACCATCGTGTACTGATGGTCTGATTCAGTGTAAAAGAATTCTTCTTATAGAATATGCCATGTGGGTATAATCAACTGCCCACAGGATGCCTTCCATGGATCGGGTATCTGTTACTTAAAAAAAAATTCAGATCTGTCTCTTTCATTGGCTCTACAGTATGCTGCGTCCACAATCTGCCTGGGGTAATCTCTATGTAAAAAATGAGAATGTAATTTATCTGCTTCCTTCTGAAAATCTGGATTCCTCTACCTCTAGGGTTGCAGTGGGGCAAGTGGCAGTGGGGCAAGAAGACTGCTGGTAACAAGCTTCATATGGAATAAAGCTCCCCCATGAGTTAGCTATACAACTCTGACAAGACCTCTTAATCTTGGAGGACTAGCTTTACCAGACCTGAAGATATATAACGAGGCGACAACCAATGTTCCCTTTAAGCTGTGGAGTCTTGTGAGCAAAACTTCTACTTTGTGAGCTACTGGCATTAAAATTGTGAGCGAGTGACTTGGCTACTGCATAAATTCGTTGGCTCTGGAGCCCTCCTTCCTGAGCTAAGACAAAAATGTGTGAGCCAGAGGCTAAAAAACTGTGCGCTAGCTCACACTAACTCAGCTTAGAGGGAACAGTGGCGACAACACTACTAGGTCTCATCAAACAATACAATCACTCCTTTCTGACAGATTGGAAAACAATAGAGGACTCCTATCTAAATAAAGTCTCTTTCCAAAATATTCTATGGGAAAGCCCAGCAAACAGACCCTTAGACATTTCAAATAACATCTTTCTGCAAAACTTAAGATATGGGATGGGAATTTTTTTTGATAGCAGCAAAGACGATCATAGCTAATACCTGGAAAAGTAAGAATATTTTGACTCTCTCACAGTGGTACAATAAACTATGGGAGCTATATTCTATAGACAAAATTTCAGACAAGGTCTCTACTTTTACTGATTAGATCGGCAAATGTGATTTCCAGTTGAAATGGTATCCCTTTTTAGAATGTATCTTCAATAACGATTCATCCACATTTGTTGTTAGCTATACAACTCTGACAAGACCTCTTAATCTTGGAGGACTAGCTTTACCAGACCTGAAGATATATAACGAGGCGACAACCAATGTTCCCTTTAAGCTGTGGAGTCTTGTGAGCAAAACTTCTACTTTGTGAGCTACTGGCATTAAAATTGTGAGCGAGTGACTTGGCTACTGCATAAATTCGTTGGCTCTGGAGCCCTCCTTCCTGAGCTAAGACAAAAATGTGTGAGCCAGAGGCTAAAAAACTGTGCGCTAGCTCACACTAACTCAGCTTAGAGGGAACAGTGGCGACAACACTACTAGGTCTCATCAAACAATACAATCACTCCTTTCTGACAGATTGGAAAACAATAGAGGACTCCTATCTAAATAAAGTCTCTTTCCAAAATATTCTATGGGAAAGCCCAGCAAACAGACCCTTAGACATTTCAAACAAATAACATCTTTCTGCAAAACTTAAGATATGGGATGGGAATTTTTTTTGATAGCAGCAAAGACGATCATAGCTAATACCTGGAAAAGTAAGAATATTTTGACTCTCTCACAGTGGTACAATAAACTATGGGGGCTATATTCTATGGACAAAATTTCAGACAAGGTCTCTACTTTTACTGATCAGATCGGCAAATGTGATTTCCAGTTGAATCTTCAATAAAGATTCATCCACAATTGTTCAGGTTCCAAGTAAATACTAGGATGTGCTACATATGATGTAACCTTTACTGGTATAAAGTTTAATAATAACTGGTCTATATTCTAAAAAAAGAAGAAGAAGATGACGACTGCTGGTCAGATGTCTCCCTGTCATTCGCAGGGATCTGGCAGTTCTCTGTTAGCCATCTCGTCCTTTGCAGTTGCCTTCCCAAATGCTTTATCTTTAGGGAGAGGGCTGTAGTTCAGTGGTGGAACACATGGGCGGTTACATATAAAAAGTCCCCACCTCATTCCCAGTTTTTAGAAGCATCCCATGTCCATCTGTATATTGAAGGGTGCTGAAATATTTTGCATAGACTCAGGTGGGTAGCCGTGTCGGTCTGAAGCAGCGGAACCAAGGTTGAGTCCAGTGGCACACAAAAGCTTACACCTAGAATAAAACTTTGTTGGTCTTAAAGGTGCCCCTGGACTCAGACTTTGTTCTAAATATTTTAAAGTTGTCCATATTCTGATACAATAAAGTGCTGCTTCATTGTCGCCAGCTGCCGTTTCTCGTAACAGCACTCTGAGTTTCTTCGTTTGCAGCTTGAGAAACTGAGGCCGTTCATCGGTTCCACGTCCATTCATGGGACCCAGTTCAGTTCCAAAGCTATCCCCCGGCTACAACCTTTAGTTTCGCAACAGTGTCTGAATGAATGTGTCTTGGCTTTCATAGACAACAAGAACTGATTCCTCAGGGGTTATCGTTTTCAGTTTCTTCTCGTTTTTTTTAAAAATGTAGCCAGTCTATTGAATCAGATTTGTTTTTCAAAATGCTTTCAGAGGACCTTTTTCTTAAGAAAACAGAGTTGGACACCTTGCTTGCCTTTTATGACCAATCTGCATCAGTGACGAGAAGCCCGGGTGGGAGTTATTTTCACTTCAGGTTGTCATTTGCCACATGACTCATTTGCTCCAGCATAGGTAGACTGCGTAGAAAAGGTTGCTGCTCATTAAATACAAAGTGACTTGTGTAGCTGCGTGTAGGCAATGGTTCTTGACTTCCTCAGGATAATTGCCCACATTGGACTATGTCCATGCCCTGTTTGACTAAAATGAAAATTACTGATATTTCAAAAAAGGCCCAGAGAGCAGGTTGGCCTGATTCATGACTTACAAAATTAGCTATCATGGTGTTTAAGTGTTGTACTGGTCTCTTGGATGCAGCTTAGCATTTAAGAGCTCTTTGGTTAATAACATTAATCTTCATGTAAATGAACCATGTAGTATTTCCTGCCCAGCAGAAAGAGAACTCCCTCTTCCTGCCAGTAGGAGGAAAAAAAGTAGACACACCTTTACAGTGTGAGCACAAAGTTCTTTTCTTTTACAGTATGGCACCGCTGCTGTGGAAGCCAGCTTTATTTTAATTACAGCATTAGTGATCCAAAAGGGGAATCCAGTTTCTTCTTGTGCTAAGTACCCTGGTCCAAACTAGACATTGCATTTGACACCTGACTGCCATGGAGGGCTTGCAGAAAGATGACAAGTGCAAATTGCCCATGGAAATTCAGTTCTGAAGTGCACAGAGCCCCAATTTGGATCAGGACTGTGGTGTGGGGGAGGGACCTCACATCCCCCTATTGTGTTTTTTCTGAACTGAATCAGCCCGGGGGGAGTTGCTCTTCACCTGTGTGCGTACAGGTCGCCTAATGATGGGAACAGCTGGATTGTAGTTGCTTCCCACCTTGATAAACTTCACATGTTTTCCTTTCCACTGGAAATACAAAATGAAATGTACAAATATCCCATCGTTATCAAACAACATAATTAGCTAGTGTGTGAGGGTTATGTGTGTTTGCATTTTTTGCAAACAGAGATTAACTTGAGTTCCTTGGAGAAAGGGAGGGATAAAAATCTACTAAATGAAAATAACCTGAAACGTAATATAAATGTTTGTGGAAAATTCTTGTTTTCGGTGGCTGTTGTTTTATAAGGTGTTTTGTGACGCGTTCTTGTATTAAATACTTTTCAGGGCATCTTTTATGACCAAGACTGTGCAGTATCAGAACGAATTACATAAATTCCTAATATGGGATACGGCAGGACAAGAACGAGTAAGTACAGAAGTCCTTGTTTCTTATTGGCCAGTGGGACAAAATTTTGTGCCTAGCATGTTAACCATGTAATTCACACACACAAAAAACCAGATGGCTGTGTCCTCCTCTCTAGTCAAGGTGTTGTGTTTTCTAATTTTTGAAGCCATTCTTCAACCTGCCCATAGCCGCTTCCAGATGACATTTTTAAATTGGCACTAATGAGTCCTCCAATTAGTCAGGGTACACAGAGAATACTGATATTTCTATCTGAAGAAGACACTGTGTCGGTTAATTTAAACTAATTTGCTTTTTATGTAATTCCAAAATTTGAATGTATCAATGTTGTCCTGGATCTGCCGATAGTGTTTATAATCTGTTCGTATAGCAGACAAGAGCAGTAGACTTCTTCTTCATACTGTTGAAAACTGAAATGGAAGAATCTCCAGGAAAGCTGGCATGTCTGGTGTGCCACGAGAGCCCTGTTGGGTCAGACCAGGGGTTCCTCTAGTCCAGCATCCTGCTTCACACAGTGGTCCTGCAGGGCCAACCAACAGGGTCTAGAGGCCAAGGCCTCCCTTCCGTGTTGCTCCCTAGCACTGGTATTCAGAAGCAGTAAGCTTTAGTCTACATGGCTAGTAGCCATTGTTGGAACGATCATCTATTTCTCAAGTGTGAGCACATCTGTGAATATCGAAATTTGTGGATTAGGCCCTCGCTGAGAGAAAGGGGATTTTTCTCCAAACTTGGGGGTTGCAGAAAAATCTTGAACCTGTAATAAAAAGGTGCATGGAGAGAAGAAAAAAAAACCCCACCCCAGAACACATCGCTGCTGCAGTGTGGGAGAAGAAGAGGATGGGGAACAGCAGCGCTGGAGACACACGGCTAGGTGACAAGAATCCCTCTCCTCCACCTGCCCCCTCACAGCTCCAGCACTGCTTCTCCCTGCAGTCATCCCGGTTTAAAAAGAGCAGCTGAGCCAGCAGCTACAGAGGGGAAGCGAAAAGGAGCTTCCTTGCCCACCCACACACCTCCATAGCTGCTAGGTCAGCTGCCATTTTTAAACTTTCCCACTGGCTTCTAAACAGCCAGACTTGAGTGAATCGGTGCTGGGGGCGGAGGGGGGGGGGCGAACAAGGAGGATTCTTTCTCCCCACTCACCAGTTAGAAGGATTCTTCACTCCCACTCACCCACCTCCACCACTGCTTCTTCCTGCAGTCTGGCTGGTCAGAAGCCAGCAGGAACATTTAAACAGGGCAGCCAAGCCAGTGGCTGTGGAAGCGTGTGGGTGGGCAAGGAGGCTCCTTCTCACCCCTGCCTTTGTAGCCACTGGCTCAGCTACCCTGCTGTTCTGCTGCTTGCTTCTGAAAAGCGAGGGGAGCGGCGACAAGGATTCTTCACTCCCACTTGCCAGTTACAAGCTGGCAGGAAAGTTTAAAGGGGGCAGCTGAGGCAGCAACTATGAAGGCAGGGGTGAAAAGAAGCTCTCCCCATACACACACACACTTCCACAGCAACAAAAACAATATTTTGTTACAGGTCCCTAGTTTTCCTCTATAAATCTGTCTTTTATAGGCATATATGATCTTGGCCATCACTGTGTCTTCTGGCAATGAATTCAGCCACTTAATTATTCATTGAATAAAGAAGCACTTCCTTTTGCCCATCCTGAATTTGTTGCCCAGGAACTTCACTGGAATACCCTCCACAAGTTAGTATTGTGGTAAAGGGAGGGAAAAGTTCTATTTATACGCTTTCTCCACTCCCTGAATAATTTTATAAACTTCTGTCATGTCTTGTCCCACCATTGTCTTTTTTTTTCTGACCTGCAAATCCCTGAGCTATAGACACAGCAAAAAAGTGGTAGTCACCTT